TATTTACAGCCAATATTTCTATATCTAGCATTTTGATCGGAATCCTGCCTCAGATGAAAGGTAAATACTGGTCTTATCTGCAGCATCCCCTTGTTTCATCAAGGTTCATGTGCATGTAAACAGGATAAAATACTGGCCCCATGGAAGGCAATAGCAAAGCTCCTCTTGGCTCCCAGAGGGGCCAAGATTTTCCTTCTCAGAGGCACATGGGCTGTAGCATCTGCCTCCGTGAGGGATCAGGACTTTTTAAGATGGCCCCACTCAACAACTGTCGCCTGTAGTGCCCTTCACTGTTCGAAAAAATGCTGATAGTGAACCAGAACCTGGAGGAAGCAAGCTAATCTGAGAAGTCACCCTGAGCCAGGCATGCAGCCCTGTGCCAATCTGAACAATTTGACAAACGGGTGTTTTCCCGGGCTCTTGCCAACAACCACATCCTCTAGAGGAGCAGTGTCCCTTTCTCCTCCAGCATCCTGTACTTACCAGAAGCTGGAAGTCCCTCTCCTCTCTCTCTGCCTGGGGATCTATGACCATGAGTCACAGCCCTGAACACTCATGCGCACTGCTCCAGGCCAAGGACACTCAGTGATGCTTGTTCTCCTGAGAGTCTTCCCTCATTGTAACTCAAGGTGGTTGTGTCCAAGCTTCCCCCTGGATTCTGCACAGGTGCAGGCAGGATTTTGCTGCTCTTGGCAGAGATACTGATTTAGAGGAAGAGGCAAAGATTTTTTGGCACAGTGCTCTGCATCATTAGACTGCAGGGACTGTGTCTTGCTGGGGCTTTGTACAGCACTTAGTGCACACAAATGATTAGTCGTAATGCTCGGAGGCAGCTCCTGTTGTTAACCGGACCCTCACTTAGAACCTGGAAAGCTGCTACTTGCACCTACCGTTTCTAGCCCTGACAGAACTTGCCAGCTCCTACCTGGTTCCCACTGAGCTCCCCTATCACCTGGGCTCTGAAGCCTGTCCTGAGGTCTACACATGCCTGCCGCGTGCTTTGCAAGCCCAGCTTTCATGGCTGGCAAAGTTTGTGGGGAAGCAGGGGTAGGGGGCATGGAACAGGTTGTTACTGCAATAGCTCCTTTCTACTTGCAGTCCAGGTTCTGATCTTAAATCAGCCCTCTAGGCCTATCCACAGAATGGCTGAGGGGGAGAAACTCAGTGTTTCTTACTCCAAAGTATCCTTAGGTGAGGCCAAGAGTGACAGCAGTTCAGGGTCAGACCCCTTCATGCTGCCATAGCAGCTGGATTTGCCCAGCTAAGAATGCAAAGCTGGTAGCCCCATCCGATGCGCCATCACCCCAAATAATTCTGAGGAAGGGTCCATAGGGGCAGAAGGCAGGGTACAGTTGCACCAAACTGCCCTCTGATTCAGACTAGCTGATGTGTGGGCCCACTGACAAATACCTAAGTTAGAGCAGCCAGCTGGCAGGACTGGTTTACCCTGAGAAGCAAGAATCACAGCAAAAGAAAGGCTTTGACTTTTAGAGGGGGGGCCTTGGCACCTTCCTTCAGCTCTGCCCCAACTACATATTTGCATTACTTAAGTCTTACAACCCTCCTCCACAATCTCCACATGCACCACTGGGGGTTAGACTAGATGACCTCCTGAAGTCCCTTTCAACCCTAATTTTCTATGATCACTCTTTCCTCAGCCCAGTGAGTGTAACAGTCTAAGCTGTAGTAACTCAGACCCATGAGCTAGCATGGAGGAGGAACACAGCTAGTAGAGGGTATGTCCATGTGGACGTTACAAGGGCCCTTCCCCCCCTCCTCTTACTTACACCATCTAATACTACCTCCAAGCCCCCACAGTCAGGTTACTCTCACTTATACTTCGTTCTGTAGCAATGAGTCATGTGTAAGTAGGTCTAAAGGACTAAGTCTAGCTGCCACAAAGACATTTATTGACTTCAGTGGAGGCTAGATTGGGGCATACAATTGACTGTCAAAGAGACTAACTTAGGCCCACACTCTCCCTCCCATGGCTTCCATAGTCAAGGTGCTTACTTTACAGGGGCAATGCCACTGCTGAACTCTCCACCTACTTTCTAAAATTGAGTATGTCATAACAGCCCTGGAAACCAGGCTGGACTTTTCCTGCCTCTTCCACACTGTGATTGATCCTACCTCTTGAATAAAATTGAAGAATGGCATGATGCCACCTTACAAAACCAGTTCCCTTGGTCCACACTGATCTGAACCTGCACCTTAATAGGAAACAAACAAAATATTTAGGAGCAATGACCTGATGACTCTGATTTGCTCTTCAAGTCAGTGCCATTTTTACAGTCACTTTTCAAAACATACAAACATTAAAAAAATGTTTTCCTTTTGTCTTCTAAAGGACAGAGTAGCTGCAACATTTAGTCACTGTAGCTCAACACATCCTTGTACTGAGAAACATACTGTCTTCTTGCTAAAGAACTCATCACTCTGATGCTAAAAGGGTAAGCCAAAATGCAGTTGTTATGATGATTTATCATTGGCTTCGCAGTAGCGCTTAGATTGCATTATTTGCAGTTTTACCTTGTTAGCTTAACAAGGCTGAATTTAAATATGAAAAATCAGAGCTTCCCCGAACAGCCAATTTTGTTCTCTACTGGTTACCTGGCTGCAAAGTATGACTGATTCAGCAGAAGTAGTCTGGTACAGCTCATTGTATTGGTGACTCAAAGAAAAAAAAAGTCACCCACCAACCACCTAGGCAGCCGTAGTGAGGAGAAATGGCCCTAGAAGAGCAAGGAAGAGAG